GGGGTCTGGGCCCCTCTGGCATCCCTGCCCCTCACCCGGTGTGCTTCAGCCACATCAGACTTCTTCCTTTTCCCAGAACTAACAAGCTTGCTATCTCCCAGGCTCATCACACCAGCGATGCTGTGTCCATGCACGTCTGAATGCTTGGTGCTATTTTGTGGTTCAGGTTTCCATTCAAACGTTCTTCCTCCCCCTACTCCTTAAGTAAGAGTCTGTCAAACCACTGTGTTCTCCCCAACCCCAGCCTCTATTTACCTCTTTCCTGTTTGTTTGTTTGAGAGAGATAAGCAGACACAGAGATGTATCTCTGCTGGTTCTTCCCAAATGCCCACAACACCCAGGAGTCTGGAACTCATTCCAGCTCTCACACAGGTAACAGGGACTCAAGTACTTGAGCCATCACCTGCCGCCTCCCAGTGGGCACATGAGCAGAAAACTGGAGTTAGGAGCAGAGCCAAGACTTGACCCAGGCACCCTGATTTGGGGTGCAGGTGTCCAAGTGGTGTCTTAACTGTTGCACCAAAGGCTCACCCCTGTTATCTCAATTTGAAATGATTTTGTTTTGCCTATTAGACTGCGCTCCAAGAGAGCAGGTGCTGTGCTGTCTCCTTCATTGCTGCATGTACAGTCCCTAGAACTGTTCTGGCATGGAGCAATCCACACTTGTTGAATAAAGTTTCTTAAGTCTCCTGAGCTCAGTTTCTCGCCTGGTGTATAAATTAATAATTGGCTAAAAATACAAGGTTGTATTTAGAATCAAGTGAGAGAATAAATTCTGTGGCATATTCAGTCCACTGCTTGGTCCACAGGAAGCCAACTAAGAATTTATCATTGTTTCAGTGTGATTATTTCTATTATAACATTCACTTCCATTCTTCCATATGCCTCTAGTACTTGCGATAGTGCCTAATGGTCAACCTGGAGTATCACAGGCATTTGTCAGTTTTGAATATTGACTCGGTAGATGTTTGCAATTCAATTCTAACTTTGTTATCTCTTGACTATGTTTTTCTGAACAGGTCCTGCAGCTGGGCTCAGACATCCTTCCCCAATACAAGCAAGAGGCGCCAAAGACTCCCCCTCACATCATCTTGCACTACTGTGTTTTTAAGACCACGTGGGATTGGATCATCTTGATCTTGACCTTCTACACAGCCATCTTGGTCCCTTACAATGTCTCCTTTAAAACCAGGCAGAACAATGTGGCATGGTTGGTTGTGGACAGCATCGTGGATGTCATCTTTTTGGTGGACATTGTGCTGAATTTTCACACCACTTTTGTTGGGCCAGCAGGGGAGGTCATTTCCGACCCCAAACTCATCCGAATGAACTACCTGAAGACGTGGTTTGTGATTGACCTTCTGTCCTGTTTGCCATATGATGTCATCAACGCTTTTGAGAACGTGGACGAGGTTAGTGCCTTTATAGGTGACCCAGGGAAGATTGGTTTTGCTGATCAGATTCCACCACCCCTGGAGGGGAGAGAGAGTCAGGTACAGCCCTCAAATCTCAGACCTTGTTGTCATGTCTTTCAAGCTGAACTAAATGTGGGTGGGCAATTGAAGAGTGACTCCGTGGGCGGGAACTAGCATGACTGATGTCCAGAACAAAGGGAGCATGCGTGATGGAAACTCTTGCCTGTTGTTCTTGTCTGCTGGAGCCCCGGAGGCCGTGCATGTCTGTGAATGGGAGTGGAAGAGGCCAGAGGCTTGCTCTTACTCCACAGGGAGAGCAAGCCACCGGCTGGGGCAGGTGGGGCTGCAGAAGCAGGCATGCATGGCCATTGCACTGGTGAATCTTCCACCTGGTTTTCAATTGCTGAATGTCTACCTATTGATTATTCTAATTATGGGGACTTTTCTTATTTTTAAATCTGCTGTTGACCTTTGCCTGTTTCATAAGCAATTAACTCCTGGTAATGTGGATGCTGTTTTCCTCCAAGTGTGCCTTATGTATTTATTTTTGTAAATGTTGGCATGAGTTATTTCATTGCTAATGTGAGTTTGGAAGGTGACCATTTGCTGAGGTAGGCAGGCTGCAGCCTGTGGTTCAGAGCGGGAGTGTTGGTTTTGGATTACACTGTTGTGGATTGTTAATCCTGCAGGCAACGGAAGGAATTAAAAGAAGATAAACACTTTGTGAATGTGTTGGAATTAGGACATGCTCCAACTGTCTTTGTGTGAATGGGTGCCTGGGACACTCTGCATCAGGAAGGGATCAGTAGGCCTGGTTAAAGTGTATTCCTCCTTTGAAAAAGCAAGGCTGTTAAGCCATTGCACAGAAGTGTCAGATTCTTATCTGACTTGTGGTCTATGGGAATGGTTCTTTTTCCTGCTCCTAGCTGACACTCCAGATGAATTAAGAGAAAGAGAAGCTCATTTGGAAACTCTTCCACCTAGTTCAGCAATGGCCCTCTCTGCCTCAGTTTACCAAGGGCCTCAGGGTCTCTGGCTGGGTTAACCTAGGTGGGTTATCTTGGAGACCACCCAGAGGCTGAACTGAGGCAAGACACAGCGTCAGGGCTAAGGGCTTGTGGGCTCTGCCTTGAGCCGATTGGAAGGAACAGTGTGCTCACCGCCCGGGCGTGAAGATCTGACGCTGACTCTCTGTCTTGGTCCAGGTGCCTTCTGATCAGTGCCAGTGGTGGGGAAGGACACCACCTCCTTCCTCTGGGACAAAGGAACAACCTCCTCCCACTTTATATGGTGAAGAGCAGCCCTTTCTGGAAATACTGCTAAGTGCAGAGCTGGAAGGAGAGAGCTTGGCTGCAAGGATGGTCGGATGCAGAGCAACCCCTGTGTGTGTGTGTGTGTGTGTGTGTGTGTGTGTATAGACGTCAACATCTAAGGACTAATTCTTTGGTGGCTCGTGTGGATTTTGTAGGGGGGATTAAATGAGTGAAGACTGATCATGTACAAGGGCAGAATAATCCCTAAAGTGAAAGTTGGGATTCTGAAGTGTGAATGTTAGTGCATGTTGGGAATGGTATTTTTCTTTGTGAGCACATTCCTGGAAAATTTTATGTTAGTTGGTGAGGCAAATATCACAGTTTTGGCTTAGGTATTTCAAATCAATTATCTCAATTAAAAGAGTTTCATCTACACCTAGGGGAAATGAAATGTAATTTTTTTAAAAACACCACTGAGGCAGGGGCAAGCGTTGGTGGAGCAGATGAAGCCTCCTGCTGGGATGCGGGCGTCCCATCTCATGATGGTTTGCATTGAGTCCCGCCTCCACCTCTGCCCTGATCCAGCTTCCTGCTGATGTACCTGGGAGGCAGCAGATGACAGCTCCAGGCTGGACTCCCTGCCACCCACACGGGAGACACAGATGGAGTTCCTGACTCCTGGCTGTGGCCTGGGTCAGCCCGGGGTTTTTGCGGGCATTGGGAGAGTGAACCTGCTGTTGGAAGCTCTGTTTCTCTCTCTGTCTCTCTTTCTGTCACTCTGCCTCTCAAATAAGTACAAAATGAATAAATAGACATTTTCAAATACAAAATGAAAAACCACTGATGAGTGGGCATTTGGCTTAGCGGTTAAGATGCCTGCTGGGGTGCCTGGGTTGGAGTCAGATTCTGCTCCCAATTCTAGCTGTCTGCCAGTGCATATCTCGGGAGGCAGCAGGTGATGGCTCAAGTAGCTGGGTCCCTGTCAGCCGCGTGGGAGACCTGGATTGAGTTCCTGGCCCCTGACTTCAGCCTGGGCCAGACAAGGCTATTGCAGGCATTGGTGGAGTGAACCAGCAAATGGGAGATTTCTCTCCCACTCTTTTTCTCTCTCTGTCTCTCAAATAAGATAAATAAATTTAAAACAGTAATATAAAAAAACCCATTACATTTTTAAAATAAATCACTGGCTATTGATAACAATAGCACTGGATTTTTAAAGGCAAGTGGAACAATCTTTCTGCTTCAGTGGTTCTTGTTAATAATTGGCAGCACTGTAAGTGCACACGCGTGTGCCTGGGTTACGTGGCAGGTTCACAGAGCACAGGGCTTCCCAGGGACAGTATGTGCTGGGTCGGAACTCCTTTGCTATTGAGAGTTCCCGTGATGGAGCTTCCTGGTTTCTGGACATGAAATAGACTGTACCAGGAAAAATATCAGTTATCTCCATTGGTATGGGGGTTTAATATCAAAGCTCTTACCATCACCTCTTATTCCAAAATAATAATAGCAATATTAAGAGGTTATCACTCTGATTTTCTTCTGTAAAGGCTTGATTTTAAATTTTATTTCCATTTTCTTTGAAAGGCAGAGAGACACAGAGAGATCCAGAGATCTTCCATTCACTGGTTCGCTTCCCAGATGCCTGCAATAGCCAGAGCTGGGCCCGGCCACAGGCAGGAGGCTAGCTGCAATCAGGTCTCCCACATGGGAGACAGGAGATGTAATTACTTGGGCCATCATCTGCTGCCTCTCAAGGCCCACATTAGCAGGAAGCTGGATCAGAAGTGAAGGAGCCAGGACTCCAACCAGGGACTGTGGGGAGCAACCCAGACTGGACTGAGTTACTGGAATTAAGACTTATTCTATGCATCTGCTCTCCCACAATATGGCGCTGGGAGAGGAGAAAACAGCTTCTACGCAGCTGCCTCCAGTTCAACCAATAAACTGTAGGACCTGCTCCTGATTGGAGGAGAGCAGCGTACTCGGCGTGTGGGCAGCCGAGTTGGGATTGGCGGAGGAGGACTATAAAGGAGGAGAGAGACGGCATGCACCAGGAACATCTAAGGGGAACACCTGTGCAGCCCCCGAGAGAGCCGGCCGGCGGTGTGCCGCTCCCCTGCAGAAGTGGGGAATGTGGCAGGGGGAACCGCCCTTCCACGGAGGTGGAAGGGACAGTAGCCAACCCGGGAAGAACCAGCAGCAAACCCGGGAAGGGCCGAGCAGACGAAAGAACAGCGCAGGGTCCTGTGTCGTTCCTCCATGAAGAGGGGGAGCGACAAGGGACTCCAGTGTGGAATGCCGGCATCCCACGTGGCTGACCCGTTGTGCCCAATGTCTGCCCCAAGACTTGATTTCTTGCCAAGCTTTGGCTGACGCCGGAAATGACACCTGTTCATCACAGCTGTGGTGCTATGGGGGGAGATCAGTGTGAGGAAACTGATTTGGCCTCTAGTCCTCTGGGACACCTGTTAGGACAGCAGAGAACCTTGTCACTTAGCCTTCCTGCAGCACCGTTGTCCCACGACACTGTCCACCATTGTCCCACGACAGCTGCCTGGGGGCATGGCATTTGGGCAATGGACTATATGAGACACCCCCCCACACACACACACCCCAGCTCCCATGGCTAAAGCCTGGTGAGTTCTAATTGTCATCTATATTACCTTCACCTCCGGAAGGTGGCTGTAGCCAAACCCCCACCCCTCAACAACTGCACACAGTGGGTGTGGATAGGCACCTAGCGGGGGGTAAGTAGACCTCTGGAAGCCTTCTAGTTCAGCCTTCTTAACTCACATGGAAGGAAGCAGGCTCAAAGGCAGAGGGGAGATGACCCCATCACAGAACAAATGATAGGCTCACAGCAAGGACCCATGCCTGTTGACTCGCCGTTGTTCTTAATGGTGGCAGATTTGATGAAATACGTAGGAGCAAACAACTTCTTGAAGGGTACAGTTAACGCTGACCAGGAAGCTTCTGATAACAGTAGTGTGCCTCTTGGCTTGGTTGAAAATGGGAAGGTGGGCCCTGGGGATTGGGGTGGGCAGAGGCGTTTTCTCCAAAGCACCTGTTTTGGCAAAGGGTGATTTAAGAAGATTGATTCAATTAGTGGGGATGAAGGGCTGCTGGTGGTTGGAGGGTGCTGTGGAGGCCACAAGGCAGCTCACCTGCCGGTCTTGGATCTTCCTGGGGAGGGAAATCCCTTTGGCAGGAGAATGCTGGCTGATGGCTTCACAGGTTCGTGTCCACCACTTGCTCTCTTCCTACCCACGACCTGCCATGGAGTCTCCAATCTAAGGTTGCAACTCCCTCTGTTCCAGCTTCTTCCCCTGGGAGAGTGTGGGGGAGACATTAGAAATTATTAACTCATTTCTTGTAAAAAAAAATAATACATGGAACTGAATTGTCCCTAGTGTCCTCCTAATTATGCCAATGGACTTGTGTGCCTGTGGAGGCCACCAAAGAAGAGGGGAGAGGGCAGTGGCTTTGCCATCTGTGTTGTGGACTGGCACATGGGCCCTCCCAGGGCCTCCTGAAGTGAGAATGTTGACCCCAGCCAAGGCCTGGGTCAGGAGACAGCTCGATGAAGTCGCTGAAGTCTGGTTGTAACTCCAGCCCCTGTGCAGGTCGCCCATCTCCAAACTTTCAGCCACACAAGCCAGCCCTTTGGCTCAACTTGTTTCATTTATGTAGATGGCCTGCATTTGCGTCATTCTCCAGTCTGGTGGTAATAATCTGTTTGGGAGGTTGTTTGGGAATATGTTTGCACATTAGTTAAATTGGTTGGAGAACAGTCTGGAAACTGAGTGAACTGAAGCTTGCAATGGG